ACTAACTACACCACTCACCGCTAGACAATTTACTTACGTAGGATACAAAAAATCACTAAAAATACACACTGCACCTAGAGCTAATGAATATACACTAGAATACTACGATCACAACATCATCAGAGCTAACCAAGATCAATTCTTAGACGACGATCGCTTCGCTAACCCACAAATCACCGAGAAATTTTTCATCAAAACACCATATGTATTTACACTAAACATCTTCGACCGCAAGTTTGATCACATCATTTCAGAAGCACTAACAAGCACACAAGCATACGAAAGTTTTAAAGAACGCTTCCAAATCTTTTCACTAACCTTTCATTTCCTTGCACCACACGAAAGAGATTTACACTGCTCACACGATATTATGTTGCGAACTAAACAAACACATACATACAGTTACTATCGTTTCATTCAAAATCACTTTGACCTCCACACACCCTCTAGACAACCACACCATCGCTTTCAATTCATCAATTCAAAATACACTTCACCGTATTTCCTAAATTTCACATATTGTATTAAAGATACTAACCTCCATGGTATTCTCCGTAACTATGACCCCATAACACAGATGTACATTTTCTGCCCCATCACCAAGACCTTCAACGCAGAAGAATCCCGACCCTTCCTTATCCCGCACGAGTTTGTACAGCCTATAGAAATCCCCATTTTAGAATTCATCCACAATACTAAATTTAACCACAAATTATATAACTTAATCCAAAACACACCTTATGAGTTTGCAGTAGGCACTGAAGAATTAACCACCATTAAGGCACTTCAAATGCTTTGGCCACTGCTTCAAACTAAAAATATCATCCGCATCTTAGCTAAACTACTAACAACTTCAGAACTAATTCACGACATCTTCCCCCACGGTTTTTTCCCCGACGACTAACAGGTAAGTATGAATTAAATGAATATTACTAACTAATTGAAATATTGAAAAAACTCACCATTCTTTATTCATGTTTTCTTTAGATTTTTAGCCTTCATCCTAGATCATCTGAAAAATTCACAAAAGAAAAATAAAAAATGGCAAACTTCTTCAAAACTGTTTAAGACCCTATTAACTTTTGCACCAACAATTAAATAAATATAATACCAATGCAGTAAATTAATTTATAAAATTTTCCCCCAAAAGCAGTAAATCTACATATGATGAAAATTTGTATCTTAAAATTCCCCCATAATCAGCAGTAAATTTCAAAATTCCATGCAGTAAATTAATAAAATGAAATTGCAGTACTAACCTTTTGATATTTTCATTCATTCGCACAGAAATTCTATCCACACTCGCACAGCTCGCCCACGAAGAATTGTTTAAAATAATGAATTTAAGTTTCAAGTTTTCACACTCAACAACTCTAACATATAATAACATGTTTCAAACTTTCCTTTAACCCGGTTGGAAAGGAATCATATACTAAACAAAACTAACCAACGCAGCTTACTAAATACCACAAATCATAGAATAACAGCATGACTAAGAAAAGGAAACCAACGGTACCCAAACCGGATTAACCCAGTTTAAAACTGGATAATTTATTCTTTTGAAGACTATTACAAAGTCTTAGAAAGAAATAATAAAACACAAAAAAGTCGAAAGACAAACCCATACCACAAACAATTAGCTTTTTGGAAAAAGTACATAACCAACAAGACATAAGTAAAACCACAACAAACCCAACATAAAACGTTGTCACATAACAGGACCCCTCACAAAAACCGCATGAAATCATACTCCCACACCTGGCCTAACCCACCAGGAAAGGACGTCCTGAGCATGCTCTATAGCCGGCCTAACCCACCGCGCTACATCCACGCTTTGTGACCACACCTTTATTTTTAATAAGAGCTACTCAAGGGTGAGTAACTCTTCAAAATAACCGAACTAAAACAAAAAGCTTTTGTGAAAACAACTAACTAAAATCATAATTAAAAAATACTAAACTAATAAAAGTTTTATAAAATGTAAAATCATATGATGCAATATATAGATCAGAATACAACACCAAGGACGAACATCAAAAGACAAGACGACCTCACTACACTCGAGAGAGAATGACCAACTACAATCGATATGCCGCTCACAATCACAACTCAAAGGATTTAGAGTACGACTTGACTTCGCAGAAAAGGACTTCATTGAACTAGACCAATGACCACCTCGATGTTCAAGTATACGTACAGATCCGAGTAACCAGGCATCCCCTCCACGCACAATCTCCACGCCATTCCCGAGCTAGATCAAACACAAAAGAAGTTCTCTCCGAAGAACAGAAAAACCTGACATAGCCAACCATTCTGAAACCAGAATTGATGCTGTTGCAGAGACTCAGTCGTTGTCACAAGAAGAACACAACGACTTGTGTCCTCAATTCCAGATCCCTGGAACTTCCTTAACAAAAAAGGAAACAAAAGAAAAATGATGTTCGCCAAATACCAACGTCCATCATCCATCCTTGAATTACAGAAAAACTGTTCTAAAAAACTCTGTAAAACCCGGATGGGTGGAACCTGATCTAAACTATATATTATGATTGGATAAATTAAATGTTTTACCAATGTAAAGTATTTAATATTAACCAATCATGATCCATCTAACTAACAACCCACTTATTTGTAAGTGCTGAAGTTACTTGTAATTTCAGCACCAGAGAGATTTGAATTTAACTTAGAAATTAGTTGGACTCTCCCGAGCACTTCAGCAGCCGCAATAAACCAGTATACCCTAGATCTATTGAGCCTAGCAGAGACTAGTTAAACAACCTGAGACTAGATAGTATAAGAGTAAGATTAGGATCGGTATTAGACTAAGAAGTTGCACGAATCTATCCGGCCGAAAATAAGATAGCGTGACGAGCAGACGGTGTACCCTATCCGAAATTACTCTATGAGTTATACACCCCTGTCCTAACTCATATTCATTCTTACTCTATTTCTCACTCTAATTTCTTAAATTTGTTTTCCGATCGAGTGACGATCCAACTTCGTCAAATTGTACCATAGTGAAACTGCCAGATAAAAACCGCCTCAAACTTTTAAGCATACCAAGACAAAAGTTCTAAGCGGAAGGAAATTCTTGATTTTTTTTCACACCTAAGTATGCTAGTGCTGATTTAAATTAACCGGACACAGCGAATAACATTGAAAACTTTAAACGCGTTTTTCTCAAATTTGGTTAAGATTAGACAAAGAGTGAAGAGTTCAAAAATTGCTCTGAATTTCATTAGAATTATTATGGTGCAGTTTTTCCCCCGAAATTCTGAACCAAAATGTTACCCCAAAAATAAGTCATTTTGGTTTTTTATTCAACCAAGAATTACGCTGGAACGACTAAATTAATTGATGAGAAAATTATGAAAAAACAATTCTCTTAAACTGTCCAACAAAATTTTAGAAGGGTAAAACTTTCAAGAATCTTCATAAGATAATATATTTTTGGTTGATACCCTAAAAACTCATTTTTACTTTATACAAATCAAAATCTTTGGCTAAAAACAAATTTCAAACGTTTTACGCAAATTTTTGAAAATTTTTTCCTTGTAAAATTTTGCTGGGCTGTGTAAGAGGCTTCTTTTATTATACTTTTCTCGACAATAAACCTGGTGGTTTCAGCGTAATTCTTTATTGAAAAAAAAAAGCAAAGTTGACCTTTTTTGGGGTAAAATTTTGGTTCAGAACTTCGGGGAAAAATGCACTATAATAATTTTGGTGAAACTCTGAGCAAATTTTGTCCCCTTCATTTTTTGTCTAATATCGTAACCCAATTTGAGAAAAAAGTGGTTGGAAATTTTAAATTTCGTTCGTTTTGTTCAAATAATTTAAATCAGCACTGTATTATTCTCATCATAATTCGACATACTAATTCTAGCTAGAAGACTGTCGTTGCAAATGTGGTGAAAGCGAAAACTATTTTCATTTAGTTCAGATGCACGTTCCAGGCATGGGTACACATTGAAGTCTTTTTTGCTTTGTTCGATTAGGGGATATTTCGTTCGATTTTTGCTTCGTTCGATACAGGGAGACATCTCAATTTTTTTTTTGCTTTGTACGATTATTCTTTTGATGTTGACCTTTTCGACCGGTTTTATCCAATTTTACCAATCGTATTGTATCTTCTCTTCGAAAAAAATTATGGGAGCAACCGAAACAACAATAAACATTGCACGAGCAGGTGAGCTTTATTAAATACGTCAATCTTAAAATCCTCTTACAAATTGGCCTTTAATGACAATTGACGATTATCTAAATTCGATGGCAATCAAACTGTTGATAATGCTACATTAGACCGAATGACCACTAAGCCTAATCCTCCCGGCCGAACAAACCGCCGAGCTTAAGTCAGTTTTTGATATTGCTAGTGTACTCTTGGCTTCCAATATTATGCTTGACGTCATATTTGCCAAAAAAAATTGAAGAGAAGCTATTCACTGGTCTCGTCCAAGTTCGTTTTTGATTTTGTGCACCGTTATTGCATTTCTTTGTTCGTTTCAGTTGACTAAGCTGTCTTTTGTTATGCTTTTTTTAGTTTATCGATCGGAAAACCAATTTTGTGTCCCTGCTCATAAAACGATATTTTATGGTCGCCGACGATTACGGGGATACCATCAAAAGCCATTTTGAATTTAACCGCCTTTTTTATTATTTCAAATACTTTTTTAAAATTGAATTAAAAAATTAATAACCGTCAGAATTTTGCTTCAAAAATGAGAAATAATCCGTTATTAGATGGCTACCAGAAACCTCGGATTAAATTAGGGATCATTTTTGACAGGCTTATATCACTGATCAAGTTCCGCCGAAGTAAAATAATAGTATGCTCCCGAATTACTTTGAATTAAAATTGCTTTGCGCTGCGTGTAAAATACTCCAGTTGTATTGACTAAAAATTCCATGTCTAATCAAAATTTATAAATAAAAATAGGGATAAATTATTTTGATGGGTACAATCGAAAACAGTTTTTTACCATTTGAAAAACTAGCACTGCACTACTCATTGCTCTTGCATTCCGGAAAACACTTTGCAGTGAAGTCAAATTGGGGCGGCGAGTAATTAAAAATGATCCCAAGTTAGGAATCCACGAAGCGAACTCTTACCTCGGTCGCAGTTTGGTCACGCGGGCTCTCAAAAACGACACAATCGATTTCTGGGTGACAGCTGTCTGTCACAAAGTGACTAGCAGTAAAAACAGCAACCAGTTGGCGCAGTTTGTGAGTCATCCAAATTTGAAGGTATGATATATTTACCATTACTAAATCTATTCAGGCGAAAATTCAACAAAACTTTTGTAGCCATGACTACCACCTAGAAACGCCCGTCTAAATCAATTGATGTATATCTTTCAAATGGAATAATGGAAGGTCTGGACTTCTTCGAGCGCAATATTTTTGGCATTTTTCCCTATTTTCCTCGTTATTTGTGTAATAAAAAACTGTAACTTACTAAAGAAACTGTTATGAAACCGTTGTTGCATAAAGAATGAGATATTCCTGGTTTTACGAAGGTTCTGATTTTTTCAATGTATACTTCAAAAACTGGAAATTTTGTAAGAGGTCGAAATTAATACGTTATTGTTCCGACCATTTCAAAATGGGGAGAAACTTTGTATTCGGGTGTTTTATTTTTTTTCTCTTTTTTTGCTTTTTTTTGTTTTCAACGCAAAATCAGCTACCACCAATAACGATTGGAGAGACTTGAGTGATATATATCATATTAAAGCCCTTTCAGTCATGATTCGAACGACAATCAAAAATTTCGAAAAACTTGTGTCGAGAAAAACCGGTTTAAAATTTTTGATTTTTCGTCTGAAGTCGACCGAGTTAAGAGAGCAAACACGCTTATTTTTGCTTAATTTAGGCCGTTTACAATAGCTTCAATATGTTTCATTTTAATTGTACTCGAGTAAATTTTATTTTTGGAGATTTTCGATGCCATTTTGGGAATCAAAAACTTCAAAAATTCAAAAAAGTTCTTGTGATATTCCTTAAATCTAATCTAAAACTTGACTACAATAATTGTTAAACTATAATCGTAGGTAAAAAAATATAAATAAGAGAATCAATTGAATATGTATGAGCATTTATATCTTTCACTAGCTGTCTAGAGAGTGTTGTTTTTAGCACCATTGAGTTAACCGTGTCTCTAGACTTAATTGACAGGTCGCTGTCTTCACATAGCAAAGTAGAATAGCGGTCATGTTATCATAGGACGTAACTCTTACTTCGTGGTCATTCGACCTTTACCACAGTTCTTCAAAAAAATCTGAAAAAAAAAATGTATTTTTTGTTTTTCTATTCATTTTTCTTCAAAAACTGTTGTCCTGTTTGTCTATAATTGTAGATTTCGGAGAATGCTTCGCTAGGTCCGTTCACACACTCTAAATTAACGGCACCGCAAACTGGTCCCTTTGGTAATGAAGTCAGCGGGGCAACCGAGATTCACTACTATCCACAATCCCGAAAGGGTTAGGTTGGTGGCAACTATTCTGTACTGTATTCTGTTACTTGCCCCCTTTTTATGCTGCTCTTGATGCTGTTTCGCTCACTCTCGCCGATGGCAAGAATTTCCATTAGTAATTAAGTTCAGATAAATATTGATCCAAATACAGAAGGATCTAAGCGGCCCGAATGTAATCTAGTAACCTAATCTAAAGGAAAGGGTCCGCGATCAATCAACACAATAGCAATTCTATCCTCTCTAGAGAATCTTTTTTAACGAATAGTAACTCCGCTCAATCACTCAGTCTGACCTGGTAAAATTAAAAGTGTCACTATGGGTCACTACTCCTTTGAGGTACTGTGACTGATATCCTAGCTTTGCGATTTCCAAGTCTCTAACTCAGAGAACCCACTAGACTCTCACTGCACCATTGTTCTGCTAGGGGTAGGCTACTTGTTATTCTCTATAAGGTTTGTCTATTTGAGTTTTAGTGATAGTTAGATTTATGTCGTCCTTACAAGTCCTGACAGTTACTTTGGTGCTCATTTTGCAAGGTCTTGAACCAATTCTTCCTTTGATGACACCATTTCTAAATTCCAAATTCATTAAGGGTTTCTCTAATTAAATTGTGCAAATATCAAGTCCATTTTCACCTCCAAACTGGGTTATGTTTAATTAACCAATCTCCCAAGTTTTTATTTCATTAACCCATTAACTTTCCGACCACCCAGGGGTAGGGGAAGACACTTTTTTTGGATTGCTAACTCATTCTAAGCATCTAAAACTCCGATTTATACTCAATTCCAATCCCGATCTTCTAGTTATCAGGGGAACGTAATTCGCTTATTAGGGGTCAAATTGTGCCAAAAAGCCACCTCCGGGGAGCTAAGTAAATATCTCGTCCATTCATGTTATTTAGGAGTCCCACTTCCCATGCTATGCCTCTGTTACTGCTAATTTTCTCTGGGACTACTTTTCTTTTACCCTGATTGATATTGTATTAATAGCTCATCCACCAAGATAAGTTGAACCCCATGTATACCAAATTCACTTTAATTGATACACTAAATCAATGGTACAATGTAAAAATCATATCTCTTTCAGCTTCTCATTTATTTCCCAATAGGTAAGTTTCCTCCCAAATATTAGTAAAGTGACCAATTCTCATTCCCACGTGTTGGGGTCGAATGAATACGCCACTTTCTGGTGTTAACCCCGAGGTTTTCTGTACAAATTTGTTCCTAAACGCCCAAAGGTCAATTAGAGGTCATCCCGGGGCAATCTTCTATATTCAGTTTTAGAATCCCAAGTTCAGTTTTATCTACCAAGTTTCATCCGTATCCCGTTAATACTTCCCAATTTATCCCATTTCTAAGGTCCATTATCATTTTTCCCGGGAAAAAGCAATTAACACCGGAAGGAGTCGTCGGGGGGTTTTACTCACTAGGGGTCTTGTTTCGAGGGTGAGTTGTAGTGCCTATTGCCGCCGTAAAATCAATATGCCCTCGCTCATTATTTTGCGTAAATTGCCTATTTCTGGTTTCAGGGGTCTTTTTTCCAAGTGCTAATAACTTCAGGTCCAACCGCCGGATATGGTTCAAATTATACTACATGATATATCTCGTCATTACCTATAATGTCCCAAAATTATAGCCCCCTGCGTTCAGTGGCGGCCGAGAAGCGACTCCCGAAAGTCGGGGTGGGGACTTTTTGCATAAGGCATAGCACCGGAAGGCCCAGGGGGTCTGGGGTTCTAAGCTTAAGCTTCCCTCAACTAGGTCTATAATGTACTATATTTTGGTTCCATTCCAACCGCTAGTTACAGAGTTCTGATAGGGCTATTTGCACTTCCGGGAACCGTTATCACTTGGGCCCGGGGGGTCCAAGGGGTCTGGGGTTCTGCATGCCCGGGTCAAATCATCTCTAGTATCCGCCCTAGGAGTTTCATAAAGTTAGTTCCGGTAATTTCCATTTGGGGGGGTTATCACATCTTACTTTTCCATTTGGGGGGGGGGGGGGGGTTTATCACATCTTACTTCACCTGAGTTTTCCGCCATAGGAGGGACTATATCTTCAAAGATTAAAACTTATTTTGGAATTGACTGTTTGTTTACCTTTCTACTTATCGTATTGATTCGTCAATACCGAGCTGCGTACTACTTATTAACCTTCATCATTTCTCAAGGTATATCTCTCAATGGTACTCTAAGTTTGACAAAAAGTGTTAAGATCACCGATCCTACAATATTACTAAGATATGCCTAAATTATTGTTTTACTTTTACGTCAGTTTGTTTTATCACCTTACGCCGAAAAACTACACTAATAGATTTTTTTTCGGTGATTGTTAAAGACTATGGTAGGAACATTCAGTTTCACTTGCGCAGTAACCGTCTATCCTTGTTTCAGTTGATTTTTGTTGACATCTTTTCATCAGAGCAGATGAAAGGAATCTTCTACGATTGTGACGTCATCATCTCATGCATCGGAGGACGAAGATCATGTTCGACCCTTCCGACCAGAACTACTCTTTACAGCGAGGCCACAAAAGTCCTTCTTTGTTCCCTGGTTGAATCCGAATCAAGAAAGCAAGCTGCTGCCCTCAATCAGATGAGAGGGGACGAGACTTCTCGTACTGAGACGAATAAAGAGTCGGCAGAAGGCGTTAGCCAATCAGAATCTAGTGGTTCAATGCGGCAACCACTGCACCTCATTTATGCCAGCACTTGGGGAACTAAATGTAACATAATTGACTTTTCGTTTTTTTTTCCATGAGGTTTGCAAAATCTATCTTCCAGACATACAAGGCACTCTGGAACTCGAATTTCCCCACCTCTGAAAGCATGTTTGGATACGACTCAAATTTTTGTAACGTTAAACAAAATTGTTCAAGAGTTGCCTTTTCTTCCAAATTGTAACAAAGCTGAATGAAGCACGCTATTATACACATTTCCAAAAAATGCTTTATGGAGCTCAAAAAATCAAAAATAGTTGTCTACTCGAAAAAAAAGAAAAAAGTCTGAAACCCACCCAGCCTGATGTGTTGAATTTCTCAGCAATATAAGGTCTTTTCTTATAATGTCTCTTCACTCTATGACTTGCAAATTAATGACATTTTTCAAATTGATTTTAAACTAAATTTTTGACATTTTACTGATAATTTTGCAAAAATTGATGCTTTGTCCAGTTAAATCGGGTGTTTGGGTGTGGATAAAAAAATTCATGAAAATTAATGCAATTATTGTTTAGCTCTTCTTGACAAATGGGATCAAGCGAGGGAACCGAGAGTCGAAGTGCATTTCAAACAGTGTATCGTCAGCCCATCCGAATTCCGAAACAACGTCGTCGACTTAGATGCCGCCGAAACTCTCCTTCTCGACTCGGATGTGAACCCATTTAAACCCAACACCACTATAGTCCGAGCACCCGAAATAGTCAACGAGAATGACTATTTCGGCACAAGCTGCGAGACTAGAAATCGACTTCGGATCCATATTGAGGAAAATAAGTCTTATGTGCTTGACTCGCGTGAACGAATTTCAGCCGACGATTTTTCCAAGTTTTTACTCAGATGCGTAACCGAAAAACTTTGCAATGGAAAAGTTATAGCCATTGGACTTTTTGATTAACAATTCAAACCTACATAAAAAGCAGAGAAAGCTTCGAATAAAGGAATTTAATAGTAACCACAACAATTTACAACAAACTATTCAATTAAGAGAAGCATCATTTCATAATTTGATTTTTTTTTCAGCATTGCCCAGTGATTTAAAATTCGAATCATTTTTCTTTGTCAATTTTCTCAAATATTCTCAGAGCGGTGCTATTTTCATCGGCTGAAGTCATTTCTCCTTCTTCAAAATCATCGCCTTTCTGTAAAGTCAGCTCCAAAAACAGTTTCGGTTTTCCTAGTTTATTGCCACCGTCGTCTTCATCTACGATCCAGCGTCGTGAACGGTTCTTGGAATTACCTCCACTGGACCAGACGTCAACTGTCATCGTTTTCGAATCGGAGTCGAAGGTCAAATTACTTCGAGAGTTCTTTGCTTTTTTACTACTACTCATAGCTGGCAAATCTGCTGCGTGTTCCTGACCGTCAATTCTAGACTTGGTACTGATATTTTTGAGGGCAAATTTGGTATGAAAAATAATCCATTGTTGATCGTCTGAGACACATATTTCGATCGTGGGTTTTGTATTCTTGAACAATTTGCAAATAACGGCAGGCGCACCCGTTGCTTTTAGATATTCTTGGAAATTTTTGCTTTCCACTAATTTCCATTTGCCCAAAAATGGACTGACTTGTTCACAGTTCATTGTAAAAGGTACAAAAGGAGGAAGCTAACAATATTTTTTGATGGCCTGAAATAAAATTAAGGAAGATAAAAATTTTGGAAGGGTGCTCTAACCTCAAATATTCTGCGTTATCAAAGACACGATTAAATAACTCAATTTAATTATCACGTTTAAGTAATTCAGCTATGCGTTGCAAAAAATAGGACACATTTGCTCCACAAAGCAGAAAATATCGGCGAGTTTAAACATACTACGAAGGTATTTTATATCCATCTCTATAAACGCTTGCAGCAGCTAACTTGCAATTTACGCTTTTGAATAACAAGACCCCGAAGCAAATTAATGAATTAATTATGTTTAATAACTAACAGAAAGGCTTTAAATTAATCAGACCCGGAAACAAATAAATGAGTTAATTTCTTAGGTAGCTATCAAGAAAAGCTGTAACAAAATTGAACAAGATAAAATACCTTTTCGTTCAAATGATGAAGTAAGTTTCTTTAGGTAAGCGTAATATGCAACCAAATAATGTTGGTACGAAGTAGTACAAACACAACGTACAATAAATAATTCTGATTCTGACCAAAGTTAGATCAAGTTTGCAAAGGGTAAATAAAATTGAAGTTCGTTAGCAATCATGCTTTGTTTTCATTAATTAAGTTGGGCCAAACTCTTAAGAAAACAGTAAATATAACCTAACATATAATTTTAAAGAAGTTTGTGGCTTAATATCTATAATTTTTAAAATTCTTGTTCCGCTAAAAAACCTCTGTACTTTAATCGAAAATCTGATTCAACGTAAGAGCAGCGTATCACAGACGCCTTAAAAATTTATCGGCTCATTTTGAGAGTTTAGAATACAAAAATGCAACTTAAGCACGTAATATAAAACTCAGTAGCCATAAACTTAAATGATTGATTTACTCAATGCAGTTTTACTTACAGTTTTAAAAATTTCGTTCTGGTTATGCGTCATGTATCGTTTCGGTGAAATCTCTAACCATGACTGCTCAACAGGATAGTTATTGAATTCATAATAAAATACACCACAGCAGCTAGAAACACATCCGCGATCAAAGTCCGTCCGGAACGAGGGTCCACACATGCACAACTTTTTTGACTGAGGGCTTTTTTGAACAATTGTCCACCACTTTATGCTCATTAGTTTACACTTGCAATTATTACGCTTGCGATTAGTTAGCGCTATCAAATCGGAATCGAATTTTTTCAGGTTAAAGACTTTTTTAAAGCAAAATCGTTTCATAGATTTGTGCAGCTGTGCTGAAGTATGCTAAATTTCTTAGAAATTCAATTTAAATAGCTAGTGCTAGTTACTACTGGTAAATGTTATATATAGAACACAACCATAGCATGTATAATCATGAAACTTCGATTATATAATTTTTGGCATATGACTTTACGGCTTCATGATTGTCAACTTGAACCAGGCGCGGATCTAGGATTTTCTCGAGGGCGGGGGGGGGGTTATTTTCATAAAAAATTTGAAAATTTTGTCGACTTTTTTTAAGTCAACGAAATTGATTTTCTGGGCTCTCCCAAATCACAATCACTATAAAGACCCCATTTCGACCAAATTTTCTGCACCGCAGGCAATTTTTTCAAAAAAGACAAATATTGACCAAAAAATCGCGTTTTTTTCGGCGCGCGCTTCCCCCTCAAAATTAGTATATATTGGCGCCAAATGCGCCTTTGGAAAAATTTTAGGGTCAGTCAACCAAAAATTAATATATCTCAAAATAGAACAAAGGGGGACCCTTTGGCTCGGCAGGGGGTCGAATCACTGAGGGGAGGGGAGGGGGGGGGAGGGGCGTCGTTATGTTGTCATGTTTGAGCCTGATGACTCAATTATTTTTCGACAGCTCAAAATCAACTCTACAAGGACTTTTTACAAAACAAACCAACTTTTAACAAAAAAAAATCGTTCTTCCATTTACTTCTTCAATTGTAGCATCAAATCCTTCTTTGCTATTCCATGAGCGTCATGCTATTTTCATAATCTGATGTTCTAGCAAGTAATTGAGTGGATGAGCAGTGTTCTGACAATTTTTTCATAATATTCATAACATTTTTTGATTTACTGCTTTCTAGCCTGTTTCGTGTAGAGAAAAATATGTAAATCCAAAATCAACCACCACTCTGCGCATATGGCGCAGTAACAACAACCCTACAACAACCCCCTTAAAAATAGTTCCACAGAACGGAATTTTGCGGATGTTCGGTTTTTCAACACTCCAAAAATGCTCTTCGTGAAAACTCGCATAGTTTGTGAGGGCAATTTTTTACGTATTTGTTTTTGAGCCCTTCCTACGGCAGGTTAGTTAAAAAATGAGGAAAATCCAAGTTAATCTTCAGTTTTTATCAACTTCAAGATTTTATTCCCACCAATTGTTTTCGTTTTTTCTTTGATTTCTAAATAATAATCGGAATGGGTCGAGTGATATATCAGATTAAAGCTTTTCAGTCGTGCCTCAAACATTAAAAATTATTCAAACGTTTTTCCAGTGTTTGTTGACTTTTCGTGTAATTTCGAATGAGAAAAACGAGCGATCATACTTATTTATGCTTAATTTCTACCGTTTACAATAGCCTATTTATGCTTAATTTTAGTTTTACTCGAATATATTTAGTTTTTGAAATTTTATAACGCCATTTTGAGAATCAAAAACTTCAAAAAAAATTCAAAAATTTCAGCAAAAAAATAAAAAACTTTTCAATTTTTTATGTAGTTTGTTTCTTGTAGTCTTTTTCTTGATAAACTGTTGTCCAGTTTGTCTGTTTTAACATGAAAGTCGAATATGGCTAAGTTGTATTTCTGTGTTCAGATCTTTTTATCACACCACGCAGGAAAAAAAATGACACTAATTTGAAAGAAAAAAGTTATTGTGTTTGTTAAGACTATGGTCGCAACATTCTGTGCTACTTGCACACTAGCCGGCTATACTTGTTTTTATCTGTGATCAGAACAAAAATTTCTTAGTTAAGTTTCAAAAAATCTCAAATCCTATCAGATAAAAAAAATATATTTGAAATTAAAACAAGGATTGCCGGTTGCTGTGCAAAAAGCACAGAATGTTCCCGCTACATTAAAAAGTACAAAAAATTTTTGTTCAGTGTTCAGATTAGTACTCTTTTTTGTGATGAGAAAACTATACGACGCGTAAAACGTTAGTGAATGAGGCATTATCGGCAACAGTTGTCTTCGAAAAAATGAACAACAAACAAAAAAAGAGAAAAAACATATTTCTGAAAAATTTTGTTAATCTTCTGTTAACTTTTAATGACCAAGAAATAGCTAAGTAAAGCGTTCAATACCTTTTTCAGGAAAAAAAAACTAAGTTTTTGACAACATAAATGAATCTTGTTCTTTAAGACCTCGCTCGCTCTATTCCATCGAAGTTAGACTAAAACTTAAAATTTTCTAACCGCTTTTGCTCTACATTATGAAAAATTTTAGAGATTGTTCAAATCACGACGAAAAAGGATTAAATATGACAAGTCACTGGAATCATTCCGATGATTAGTTGTGGCACCTGATCTAGCGTGGAAAATAAAAAAATTTAAAAAGCAGACAAAGTCCCCTCCCATAATCAACTGCGGGAACATAAAAGCAAAATGGGTGGTTTCGACTACTCGCAAATTGAAACAAAAATGGCCAGTTGCTGAGCACAGAATATTCCGACCATATTCTTTAAAAAACTACATTTTTTTTCAATTTAAAAATTTTTTTGTGCGTTGTTTGATGAAACATTGAACAAAAGCCCAAAACTTCAGCAAATTCGACACTCGTAGTAAAACTGAAAAAATGGAAAACAGTTTCAGTAAAAAAGACTTTAAAACAAAAGAAAAATTGTAAAAAAACAGCCGATTTTTTAATTCCCAAACTGGCGCTGAAAATTTCGAAAATTAATTTAACTAGAGCAAATTTTAACTTTCAGGGCTTGAATAGGCGTATCTTTTTTCTATAAATGCCAATCATACGCTTGCTCGCTCTCTTTACTCGTTGGAATATTGCACGCATGTCCTTGTATGACTATTTTAGGTTACTTCAGAGAAACAATTGGCTAATGGAAGAAAGCTCTATAAAATTAGAAACTACTTCCATCCCACAGAGCCTGTCGATGAAGTAGGAGGAAAATCGAGAAGATAGAATTTGAAAAAAAAATTTGAGTGTAAATAATACACAGAGGCGAAGCGGAGCTTCGCATCACTTGCGATACGTTAAAAAGCATTGCAAGTTAGCAGACAGAAAAGGAAAGAAGAGCCACTAAGTCCAAAAAAACGGAAAAATTTTTCGAAAAATATCCTCAATTAAAAACTTCAAAGTGTTGTCTAAAATGAAGTTCTATTTGCGGAAACACGTTCCAACGGCATTTATTGAAAATTCAAAAATAATTTTTGAGCGAAAAAACTTGTTTCTAAGAAAAAGTTTGAGCTATGATTTTTTTTCAGAGATTTTCAACGTT